TACCTAACAACAACAGCATGCCATAATACGTATTCACAAGATTCCAAGAACTGTGTTCTGTTTACAAGAAATTATTGCAAAAAAGAAGAGAAGCACATGGCATTCTTGTGATTGACCAACCTGAAATGTATGGTCTGACTTGTTGATTTAGCGATTTTCTTCTATTCTTCAACACAATTCATTTGACTCGATTCTATTGCGCACGGTTTTATGGCGGAACAAACATCAAGACTTGAATAATATGTTTCACGTCGATTCTGTGTGCATTTTATGATTGACAAACAAAAACACATCAACATTTCACATAACCTGAGACAAAATTAAGAAAGTATTAGCCATGTTCAGGCCGGTGTAATATTAATTTGAACTCGAGTTGCACAAAGTACAAGCGCGCATAAATGGCAATTGCTTTTTTGCCTATGAATTTGATTCTATGTAATCGTCGTTGCACGTCGTTCATTTTTGCTTATTAGAAATTCCAAGAGTGCACAGGCACACCACATATTATTATAAGTTATTTTGAATGGAAATGATTCGAGGTGATTTGAAAACATTTCGAACTTGTTGTTACACAATTGTTTTGATGCATTGAAGACATTGTGATTATTCAGATTATCCTGGCCAAAGAATCCAATTATGATTGCACTGATTTTAATGTGTTTCAGCATAAACAATCTACATCTACATGTACAATGTTTGCCATTCCAATGTTCACTTCCATATCGGATCTATTCGATTGTTGCTTTTATTGGCTCTATTATCATTTATTATTGTATGATGGTACGTTCTATGGATGAAAAAAAAGAATAGAAAACAACGACGCCGTTGTAGCATTCACAGTTTGCTGACTCTTGCAACTTCTGAACTAGTATGCAATTTGTATTGAAGTAGATACAATAGGAAGAAAAAATACTGACAGATAGACACTTGTGCATATAGTCACGCATCAAATTACTATATCGACTATAGGATAGAGACATTGAAGTAATTGAAATGATTACGGTTACAATTTTACATTGTTCAAGTGTGGAAGAATGTGTGAATGCATTCGAACAAAGATGTGTGCATCGAAAACTGTTTGAATTCAATCAAATTGCTTACAAGATCTTTTTTATCATAATGCAAATTTGTTGCTTTTTACCTTATAACGAATAATTATGTGCAAAGTGTGGTTCGCAAACCTTCACAAATAATCTTTATCAAAGTTATAAATGAAGAATAAGAAACGATGTAAAAAAAAATGAAACATAATACGTTCAAAATCTTTGGGCGAATATTCGGCGATTAAAAAAATCCTTCTTCATTGTTCTTGTCAATATTTTTGGTGCGGCAAATAACAAACTATATTGTTACAGATAAGTAATCATCTTAAAAAGATGCGCTTCGCAAATAACATAAATTATTTATATGTGCAACTTGTAAATTTCATTGTGGTATGCAGATGCAGACACCCCCTGCCACGTTCAAACCTTTTTTTAAAAAACAAATTCTTGGAAATCCCACGCATTAATATTCAGTTTCGGTTGAATAAATCGCATTTTTCATACTTGAGACTGACACATACACCGGTTACATGTAAAGAAAGTATCCGTTTAGCTGAGCGCATGTTGAACTTGAATGTCAGTTTGCGAAACAGGTAAACGAAGAACGTACAAAGCCGTGCATATCCATTCGAAACGAATATAATGTATAAATTAAAGGATGGAATTTTTACTTTCATTAAACACCATTTTTTTTGCAAGAGAGACTTTTTCACAAATTTCAAACTTCTTCGATTTGATTTTAGCAAAGAGTGTGAATTCACATTGATGCATAGAAACAAACATTGATCATTGATTGATAGATGAATGATATATTCTTTGGACAATAAATCAACGCATTTTTACCAGACTTGTATTAGCAGCGACAGAGATATCTGACAAACACTAAATGAATCCCATCAATTTCGAGATGAATATTCACTCACGCAGGTATCGAGTAATGCTTAAATGTGAAAGTGATTGCTATCTGTCTAAACATGAAAATTAAAAGATGCTTTTGTTCATTCAATAATTGGTTTAGTATTCTTTCTTTTTTCCCAAGAACAACTAAACTGTTCTCATCAAGAAGTTATCTTTTAACTTTCTCAATTCACACTTTCCAACGAAAAATTGAAGCATCAAACAATTCAACCACACTGTTGTAGGCTTTCTATGAGATTTGAACAAATAAACAGAAAACATTAAAAGTAAATGCAAATGACATCAACGTACACCGATTTGCTTCTTCTACTTTTTTTTTCTACCTAGATTTATTGTACATTGTGTGGTTCATAGTAACACAAAAGCATATCAAATGTCGATTCATATATTTTCAGTTGGCTGTTGCCATGGGCGTATTTGTTCAAATGTTAATGTTAAGTATTTGCTAAACAAATCCAACACATTCACTCATTCTTCTTCACCTCAATCTGTCTTTGAAAAGGCACTTCGACTTCAATTCTTCACACCACTGATATAGTTCTCTACAATTTATTCCCACGCCTAATTATTTGATTGTTGTTTTTACTTTTTGAAAATGGCATGAATTGTATTTTATGAAAACACAACATCACTTTTACAATGATATATCTGACAATTGACCAAATTCAACAACATTATAACGAAATGAACATTTTCTCTTTATCGCCGACAATGAACCCGTGTATGAAATAAAACTCTTTTCTTTTCTCGCTAGGTGATATTGAATACCGCGACTGCGGTAACTGTCATTTGTCAGTAAATGCATGTTTTTTTTTCGGGCTGAGAAATCTGAAAATTTGTCATAAAAATGTATGAGTTCAAGTGATGCTGATCTACACAGCCTATATAATAAATTCCATACGAAATAAAATGACCCGATCACAAAATGAAATTGATTGAAATCGTAATGGTTATATTTTTCGTGGCCGTTAATATTCCAATGAATATTCATTAATTAAACGCATTGGTCATTCGATGTCATAAATGCTAATAAAATCATTTGATATGCGAAAACATACGAATTAAGTGTGTCTTTTCGAACTGTGGCCCATAAAAATGTTTGCGTCTTCGGCAATTCCCTTTAGCTCAATTTTTGAGTTGTTTTAGTACAATGTTTCTCTTTTATTTTTATTTTTTAATAAATGGAGACGAGATGGTTTTTCGAGACTTGTTCAAATATTTCGTCGATGTACATTTGTCATTGTTTCTGTTGTAAGCCGCTATCGGCAATTTTTCGGTTTCAATCGAAGCGGATGGGCATGGCTGTTGAATATTATTTTGCATAATTTATGACATTGATGGAGGAAGTGAAGGAACTGAATATTGCCGTCAGCAATTTATATTGTAAAAGATCCGAAATATGGATTCGAATGGTTTGTGGTGCGTGAGATATTAAAACAAAACACAGAAACACATTTATACCCCCATTATTTTCTCTTGGCATATTTACTTAATTATCAATAAATTTATTGGTGATAGTAGGTTCTTCGCGTACGACTTTCTCTCTAACCATCCGCTGATGTATGCAGTGAGATTCGTATTTGAAGTTATGTGATCAACATAATGTTCAAATATAAACGAAACAACGGTTTGCATAACACTTTATCTCCCAGACGGATTGAATATTTATTTTTGGCTCATGAATTATATTCTGGATAATTATGAACGATAACGGATTATATGATCCACGCAGCTTATTCTTAAAATAAAAAGTATTAAGGTCTCCCTCGTCGATGATAAATACATTGGTTTAATTTAAAACAAATCTCCTACTGTATAATATATAAGAAAGTAAATGACGTTATGAATAATAATCTTTCTCCATGAGAGTCTTTCGAATATATTTTAATTTCAAAAAAAATATTTTCGCTAATGATTCCATACCTGATGACATCGTGAAATTGGTCTTTGAATAATTTTCAGTGATCGTTACCATATCAAATGACATTACAGTTCAACTGCAATAATTTTAACATTATAAGCTATTTTCTCTCATGAGAAAAATTAAATAATCCAATGATTTGTACCTTTCGAATGGCAGACGGGTTTCTTTTTTCATCTCCAAAACCTATCACTATCTAATTGACGTGAGATCGCCACATCGTTCGTTTTCCAACTGCGAAAAAAAACCGTCATATTTCTAATTACATAAAATGTGTCAAGTTATCAAGTCAACGTAAAGTGTACAATTTCAATCTTGTGTCAACTTGGTTTGTGTGTGTACATATAATAATCAGCGAAGCGAGTGATTAAATATATCGTTGATATACACACTTTTTTTCTTGGCTTGCATGCGAAACACTTTTCATACATGTTTACATTTTCTATTTCATGTTGTTTGTGTTTTTACTTTTGTTTTTTCTGTGACATGAGCTAAAAATCTGTGGACACTTTCTACAACGGATCGAAAGAAAAAACATTACATATCTGGCAATGAATGAATGAAAAGATATTTCTTTTTTTTTTCGAATTAAAATTTTTCTTTTAATTGAATTGTCAAAAGTAGACATTTTGAACAATTTAAGTCGTTGTCGGATTCGCATCTTTTTTTGCGCCGGCCATCGGTATCATTTTAAATCGCAATATAAAAAGATCAGTTGTTGAAATAATCAAGTCTGCGAATAAATGGGAAAAAAGAGTGTTCCGCAGAAATACCAAAAAAGGATTAAATAAAGAGAACGTGATAAATTTCTCATAAGCAAATTAAGTTCCAGGCGCAAAAACAGTGAGAATTGACCGTTAAAACAAACAACATAATATTTAAAACCGTTTTACATTTGAATTTATTGAAAAGAGAATAACGCTACATTTTACCTGTCTTGCGTTTTCTCATTTATTATTTGTGACTTCAATCTACTTGGATTTTAGTGAGACAGTTTTTTGTCGCTATTAAAAGATAATGTTTTGTATTTTTGTTTTTGTGCCGCTTTTACTAATTTTTCTCTTCCTTCTTTCTTTTTTTCTTAAAACAGATTGAATCATTGGAAAATCGTGTACACAATGAATCGAGGAACAAAAGGTCTTGAGATGTGGTGCCGTCGTCAAATTGAAGGCTACCCTGGTATTGTTATCCACAACATGACTACGTCGTGGAAGGACGGTATGGCATTCTGTGCCCTGGTTCACCACTTTCGACCAGATTTAATGTAAGTACTTTCGATTATTGTCGAATTGAGTGCTGTGTCGTTGTTGTCGTTGTTGTTGTTTTTGTTTCATTCTTGAAAATTGAATAAATTCAACGAACGGTAAAAAACGAATGCTGAGCCACAATTAAAGTTTGGATGTTATGAATGACTAAATCGCCGACTAAAATTGGAATATATTAAAATGCCATAAAACGCACCTCTCAACATGAAATATAGGCACTTAAACAGGCTGACAATCAGTTCCACAACAATAGAGAGACAGGGCAATAAACCTGACCACGCACACGCATCATTCTGTTCGCATTTGATCAAAAGCACGATTTATTAGATTTTAATTTGACAAAGTATGAATGTGTGCGCGTACGCATATGGTGCCGAGCTGAGTGAATGGAATTTGTTGAGAAGTCTACAATTTAATGGAAATTTAATGATCAAAATGAGACTTTGTACAAAGACGGAAATCATGAAAATGTGGGTGATGGATTTTCAGTCTATAATGATAATCTTTTGACATATAAACCGAACAACAAAAACATTAATGTGGTTATTGTAATATGTCATCGTGAAAAAGGTGTGCTTTCTTATGTTACCGGCGTAAAAACTCTCTTGATGTACTACATTTTTTGTATGCTCGAAAGTAACATATATTTTTTTCCCCGTTTAAATGTTTCGATAGCCTCAAGCCAGAAAAATGAGCACTTGGAATAATTTCTGTGCTCATATATTTTCCCTTAATTCGATTGAGCTGGATGCGTGAGCTCTATGATTAAAATGAATCTAATTCGTGCTTACATGCATGGTTATAATTGGTCGATCGACATGATTATACCTCTCCTATTCAAATATGCATGTAATTAGAGCAACTTGTAGAAAGTTGATTGTTATTTTGCAATCGTTATTCGACCTACTGATGTATTGCTTGCCTATTCCAATTTGTCGTAGGTCCAGCGGTGCTATGAAACTGTGTTCACGATCATAAACTCATATTACAATGACATCTACTCAAATTTCTTCTATACGAACATAAAATGCTATAAATTATCGCACACTGTGTCAATATCACGGTCATTTCTCCATTGTCTCAACTCAACTAATACCGAAAATTTTTCAAACAAGTTAAAATTAATAAAAAAAATTTACGGCAGCAAAAACAATAAACACATATGCATGCTTTTAATTTGACTTAATAAATCTTTGTATTCAACATATATTCAACTTTGTATTCAACTAATAATAATCTAACTGTAAAAGTTGTGATGAATTTTTGATGAATAAACATAAAATAATAATTCCAGATTCTTTTTGAGATTTATTAAAAAATACATGTTTTTTTCTTCTGTCTTTGTAATCCGAATTTACAGTGATTTTGATAAATTGAACAAAGCCGATGTTTACTATAACAATGAGTTGGCATTCACAATGGCCGAAAAGCACCTTGGTATTCCTGCTTTGCTAGATGCAGCTGATATGGCGATGTATGATGTCCCCGACAGACTCTCGATTCTAACATATTTGTCGCAGTACTATCAACGATTTGCATCACAGGGTAAGTGATAGTCATAACATCTAATTTGTTTGTTCCCTTCAAGGAAGTAATTTCGCAACAAAAGAAATGTCGCAAATCACAATTACAACGAGATATAATTACGGTTTGCTGTGACACACGCTGTGAGTGTTATTCGCTCACTTGTGTCAATCATATCAACGTTCATGCCGTCACATTTTAATTCTGTGCGTATCAGTTTATGACTTTGCTCTTTGATCTTTTTCTGTCATAAACTACACGATAACTTGTTGGTGAAGTTGGTGTGCTTTATGTAGTGTTAAAATGACGTAGTGTCTCTCAATAACGACGTCTGTTGATTTTCATGAAGTGTTTTTTTTCTCTCTCTCTCTCTGTCTCTCCATTTTCACAACGTGCACTTACACACTTATTTCATATTCGTGTAATTAAACAACTAAAAATATGTGGTTGTGCCATAGTTTTAGAATGATATTTATTTTTACATAATTTGCATGCAATGTCAAAGACCTGAATTTTCAATTACACTGCATGGAATTATGATGTCAGAAACTAACAGTAAATATATCAAATAAAAAGTTGCCGCGACACCAAACCAAGTGTATGTTCTGTTTTCTGATGACTTCTTGTTGGTCGATTTCGAAAATGAGAGAATGGAAAGCTGTACGTTGAGACAATATAAATGAGCTACTTGCGTTTGTTTGCCGGCTGATTGTGCCAAAGACTTGAACCAATTGCCATAATTTGTTTTCCAATTACTACCCGTCGTTTATTGCATCTAATTTTTATTGTTAACGCAATCTCGTACAATGTCTGAATTTCTCGGTCTAATGGACACCAAAATGAATATACACTAACTCACACACACGCATGAGCACAATTCAGCTCATTTTGATCTACAAAAAGCATCGAGAGACGATACACATTCAAGCTGCGCAAGCTGTGCGCGCTTTTTTTTGCTTGCTCAAATAAATGGACTTGCCATGTTTCGAGAGTGTTGTACATTCATGCGCGGCAAGTGACAATAATAACAATCATCATCGACGACACAGGCACTAAAATGCTCCATGTATGAATAAAAAAAGCGATCTACAAGCAAATGCAGCAAGCATAAGAGAGATATATACTCAAATGACCACGGTCGTCAACACCAATATAAGAAATAAATTTTAATTAAAATAACTCGAACTATTAAATGTGTTCGCTATCTAAAATCAGACACGAGTGATGTTGTGTTTATTCAGTTGTGTCCCGTGATAATGTTTTTGTATGTTTTGTTTTTTTTTCGGTCTCTCGCTCGTTTCAGACCGAATGTGTAATTGTGTCGTGATAATTATTTATACACAAGTCAAAAAGAGAAAAGACTTAACGTTAAAATTGCATGTGCATTGTGTGCAACTACTCAACGATGCAATCGCACACAATCCACAAGATAGCTTAAGCGATTTCTCCTCAATGATTTTTGTTTTGCTTCTGCTGGATTCTGTACTACATAAATGAAAACACGGCACATAAATCAATTCCAGTGCCTATGATAATACCACAATAATGTTATATGACTCATAAGATGATTCTTAGAGTATATATGTACGAAAAAATACATACGAACAAATCATAAATAAAAGCGTCATACACACTGAATGAAATGCAAGTGTTAAAAGCACTGCGATCGCACAGCCACAACCACAAATGGCCAAACAATATAGAATGGAACTGAAAATAAGAAATCTATGATGGTAATAACTACAATAATCGTTATCACGTAAACATCAAACACCTTCAAATGGCTTTATCGTGATGTGTGCGCGCGGCGCGAAGCACACCAATGCAGCCGATGATGATGATTTCGTTGCTGCTTCTATTCACATTTTTCATCGGTGCGCCGTGCGCACACTGCTTTGCATTGATGGCCATTTTTTTCTGATGGCTTTCTTTTGCCATTTCCGTCTATCTAAGCAATTTATAAGTGCAATTACAAAACTGCGTCAAAAGGCTTGATCTTTTATCGAATGAATGAACACAATGATTCGTCTTGGCAAACACACAGAGAAAAACCGTTTCTCCATTAGTAAGCACCCATCATGCAAAGATTTCATCTGCAAGTTTCATTTCTCTGTTTCGATCGCCTTTTTTCGTGTTTTCGTCCGAAAAAAGAAGAATGAAATATTCAACTGGATTGTGGTTGAAACTGTTTTCAATTTAAACGAATATGAAATTGTTTCCACCAATATTTTGTTTCACTGCAGAATGACTCAATCAAGAGAAACAACTCATATTATATACTGAATGAATGTAGAAATTAGCACGATGGGTCAACAAACTTTTGATTTTCATACGCTGCACACACTGATGCCGTAGATCCATCATTGTTTGTCTTTTTTTCCTTTCTGCGATGTGTATTCAACGGAAATGACACAAAATCTATACAAATGCTGTTGATTTAGACTTGAAAGCATGAAAACATTGAACACCGTGCATCAATACAACACGTGCTACATTAAAAGCAATTTGTTGTGTCTTTCTGCATAATTAGAGCCATTTCCTATTTGCAACGCTAGTTTAATGATTCATTTTAAAAGTGTTTACAAAATGATCTTACATTGCGAAAAATTGGGTTTCAAGAAAAAGAAGAAGCAGAAAAAAAACCAATGAACATTAATTACCATAATGAAACTGAACTGCTAACCGCAACTAATAAAAATGTAAATTTCTCAAAGGAGAAAGGTATAATATCAATCATATTAATATTGAAAAAAATATGAAATACGTTTAAAATGGAATGCAAATGACTGAAACTACACGATATTTATTGAGTGCTAGTTAAAGTGATAAGAGTCGATTAAATCATTTTACGCGAAGTTCCGTTCATCTATACGTTGACGTGGATTTTAAAATTGATTTAAGTGATCGGCAAACGGTCGGTTGTTTGTAGGCTGTTTAAGACAAGTAGGTCAGCTGACCAAAACATTTGGAAGGTGCTCGGAAACTGAACAGTTTTGTATCATAATAGTAAAATGGTAAAAATAACGATCATATAAACAATTTAAATTGCTCTTTCAACGGCTGAGTTAGATATCTTCACCTATAGGCGCGAAGGTGCACTTCGTTAGGAAAACCAAATTTTATGACTTATATACATTAAAAAACGTGATATTTGTGGAAATAATCGATTTCGGTTTTCAATGGGTCATCATTTTCTACCAGCATGCTGAAACAATGGCCTCATCTAACTGAATGGCAACTTAAAACGGTTAAAGAGTTAATTTGCTTTTTTCGATGTTGTTTCTTTTGTTGCGAAAATGACCACGATCGCAAACACAAAGAACACATTTTCACATGTTTTCTCCACCCCATGCTATTTGAAGCATGTTGCGAACAGAATTTATTGATAACTCTTGGCTGACCCGCTTATTTATATCAAGTGGAAAGAGATTGTTTACATTCATTTTATCTCATGCAGTTTATACGTGATATGTACAGGCAGAGACTCTTACTCTCACAAAATTATTATAGTGGTACATCAATGTTTCTGTTCAAACAGACGCTAAATAAACATCATGTTTTCACATTAAACTCTTGACACATTTCTGAAATGATGCAAAGAGAATGAAAATATAATAAAAAATGTTTCAATTGAATTCCCAATTGAATTATCATCGAAACAAAAAAGAAAATAAAACGATCGAATATGTAAATAGTGGATAAAAAATTAAACATAATTCAATCAACTGCTATTCAATTATTATTATTCGAAGCTAAAATTGTAGAATCAATGGTCTGTGTAAATGTCCTGAGCAAGCGGGGTTGGCGTATATGAGATTGGGAACTTTTTTATGCGAACGCAACTGATCAGCGCCACCTCACATTAGTTCGAATTAGATCGAAAAACTGAATTTAATTCTGTAGCATTGAAATGAAAAAGAGAAAAAATAACAACAATAGCACGGCCACACAGAGCTGTACATCTATGCGTGCTGATGTATACATACACATATACGCTTTCTTCATTCTTTCATTCCATTGTTATACGTATATCACTGGTCAACAGATCTATGTAGCCATGTTACTGTTGTTGTTTTTTTTCTCTTTTTGTAACTAATGGGAGTTCAACTATGGAATACAAGATGGCACAGATGAGGGGAATTCGCATTTTGTCTCTTCATAGGCTTAGCCGGTTGGTCCTGAGAAAGTAAATTTAAACGATTTTGCTTTATGTAGCTTTTTTCCAAAAAAAGCGTAAATATTGTATAGCCATTTCTAGTGCTTACATTCATTTTAAGTTTTGACCTGCATCGTACATACATTTTCGTGTATCGTTTCTCTCTTTTGCACGCGTGCTCTTGCTCATTTCGGTTTCCTCTCGATTTAATCATAATCGAAACAAAAAGCATACAGAGCCCAGTTCTTTTATGGGTTCGTTTTTTGCTTTTGGTTTTTATTTTTGTTTCGTTATTTTTAATTGCAATCGGTATTCGTTGATTTACAGTTTCTCTGGTCATTGCACTTGCAAAGTGAATATATACATGTTGATACACATAATACTATACCGTACAGCCGCATATGTGTGCCTCACTTCATAGTGGGTATGCCAAACAGTTACTATTAAAATTGAGTCGAGTAATAGTTTCGTTTTCTGTTCAATGCAATTCACCGCCAGCATAAAGTGTTTGCCTTTAAATAATGTTGAACTCACTTCTAATTCTCTTGCGATGATTGCTTGTTTCTTTTTTTTTCTTCGTTGCATTTTCTATGCGGTCACTCAAATAATCGATTTACATGCAGTTTTTCCACGATTTAACATTCAGACGGAGATAAACTTAAGACAAATAGCGAATTGTATATCATATGTGTGTAGAGAGAGAGAGAGAAAAAAAAGAAACCCAATGAACTGGCTTAATATGTATATTTTAAACACGGTGATATGTTAGTCAGTTGCGAATATGTTTTTGATTTAAATTGCAATTGAATTTAATCGTTGTTTTTGCTTTGCGAAAATCTATGCAAAGGCAAACTAACATTCAATT